TTAACTTGAAGTAAATGCAAAGTAAAGTACAAGAATTATTATTTGATAAACAACTACATCATTTCCTCATCAATTGTTACTTGATGACAACAGAAGTGGACATGTTTTTCTAGTGTGTCCTGGGTTTCTACAATGCTCACATCTTCTGTCTTGTCTAGATCTTTCTCGAATATCCATATCGCAATGAATTTGATTGGATTTTGGATGACCACGCTCCCTCAATAAACTCAGATTTGGTACAATCGGAAGCCAATCTTGAACCTCATCAGGGTCTTTGTCATTACCTATGGGGGGAAACTCAAATTCGTATACCTTAAAAACTTCAGACAGTAGGTATACAGGATCCATAAAATAGTTATAGTCTTGACGTGTAATTGTATCGTTTTTTTTAATCTTCATCAGCGGTTATCGAATAACATTAACTTGAAGTAAATGCAAAGCAAAATACAAGAATTATTATTTGATAAACAACTAAATCATTTCCTCATCAATTGTTACTTGATGACAACAGAAGTGGACATGTTTTTCTAGTGTGTCCTGGGTTTCTACAATGCCCACATCTTCTGTCTTGTCTAGATCTTTCTCGAATATCCATATCGCAATGAATTCGATTTGATTTTGGATGACCACGCTCCCTCAATAAACTCAGATTTGGTACAATCGGAAGCCAATCTTGAACCTCATCAGGGTCTTTGCCATTACCTATGGGGGAAACTCAAATTTGTATACCTTAAAAACTTCATATAGTAGGTATACGGGATCCACAAAATAGTTATAGTCTTGGCGTGTATGCGAGCAAGCTGCTATCACATGAGAGCATGGATGCTTCAGAGCTTGAAAAAACCCACAGTCGCGCGTTCTGTCCTTTAGATTTACTCTTAACGACACAGCTTCAATTCCTTGAAGAGGTTGCGGTAACTCTGTGACACGAAACATTTCATGACTTCTAGAGAAACTTGTTACAGACATTCCATTTGATGCAACAATTTTTTTCTGTATATCTGCAACTAATCTAGGGTGATAGAGATGACCGCCTTGCATCTAAGTTTCAGCTTGTCCCCCGAGCTTCGCAAAAAGCACCCCCAAACGAAAATATGTAGTTTTTACCAAAGCCGCTACAGGTAAGTGACGTACACCCTTTAAGGTTGAATTGATTGCCTCAGCCAAGTTGGTCGTCATGTGTCCATATCGATATCCACCATCATATGCGTTCGTCCACATTTCTTTATCTATGAGGCTGATGTAATCGTATCCTTCCTTGTTCTTCGCTCGCAAATCTTGAAGCATTGATTCAAACGTTCAAGGAAGTAGTTCGTAACCTGATAAAAAATGTATAACTTAATAACTTGATTTCTTTACAAAATTAAAATGATTAAAAAATGTATAACTTACTAACTTGCTTTCACTTACCCATGCGTACAATTAATTGACGCTCATCATTCTTCTTGTACCTTCTATGGTAGTTCGCAGTAATGTGTCGGAGACAATACCTATGTTGGACAAAGGGTGGTTGCCACATTGGACCCAAAGACTCCATTGCTGCTTTGATCTCAGCTCCGCGATCTGAAATGACATAGATTTTCTCCCTCGTGATAACATGTGCACGTCAGTTTCGGAGGAAAAAAGACCAAGAATCTGTATCTTCTCCTTCGACAAGAGCAAAAGCAACTGGAAGAATGTTGCGATTGCTATCTTAGACAACTGCCAATAATAAAACTTGCTTGTATTTTTCATACAAGAAAGTCCCGTCGATCTGGACCACAGGCTTGCAGTATTTGACAACATTAACGCACTGTGGGTAAGTCCAAAAAACCCGGTAGAATTGGCATCGATCGTGTAGAACTCGATCATTATGGTATGCATAGGAGGTTTCGAAGTACACAATTGTCCCAGGATTCAACGTCCGTACCAGCCTAAACCAACCTGGAAGTTCGTTGTAAGATGCATCCCATTCGCCATGAAGTTTGACAATGGCATTTTGTTTTGCCAACCAAGCTTTTTTATATGATACATTTTACCCATACTGCGATTGTATAGCTGAAATCAACACTGCAACAGCTATATGAGAGCTTGCTTTTACCGTTGGCATGATGGCTTGGCATATCACTTCAGAGTCCAAGTTGGGATGATCTTTGTTGACCCCTCCATCACAACATGTGTGAGGACCGTTGTATACTGTTAGTTCCCATATGTTGTTTTTCCTCTTTCTCTTCGATACGCGAACCATCTAATTGCATCCGTTTTCGTGTCGGGCACAGTAGCATACATATTTTTCGGTCGTGGAGCGGTCGACTCTGGACTGAACAGAATTACATATATTGTAATTTTTTATAGCCACCATCGCTTCTTCCTTGCTTGAAAACTCCATGCCTAAAGATAACTCACCATTATTTATTGATGAGTAATATCCATAGTCACCGAGATGAGGCATATCCGCAAATTCTGGCTCGTACATTACATCATAATCATCTTCATACATGTGTGCTGAAGGGTCAGTTTGTGCCACATTTTTAGAACTTCATCTATATCATCATCACCATCGGAGTTGAATTGTTGTGATTCTGGGTGAATGAATAATCCAGTCTCAGCACCATCCGCACCAGGCTCACGAAGAACCTAATACTGACACGTCTTCCCCTTGAACTAGAAGGCATATCTGGATTGAGATCGAAAAAGCTCGCAGTCGAATGCCTCCCCCTGGAGCTTGAAGCCATCGTGTCAAATGGAAACTGCACAAATTGTTGCGTCGATGGCATTAAAATCATTACACTTTACTGTAGTCGGGCTATCAACTTGATCAACTTGTTCAGCCAGCCCATAGTGTGAGCTTAATGGCTAACCCCGAACAACACACACTTGAACAAACTTTGCATACATCTCAATATCGTCGTCTGAATAATTACTTTGAGAATCAGCCATCATTTCAACATCATCATTGTTCGATAGTTCGAACGCTATATAAATTAATGGCAACAATGATGTTGGAAATTTGTACTTTAACGACGACATTCTTCTATTACTTCCAATATGAACCTTCCTCAAAATCTTCGTTATCAGCTCCTCAAGAGTTATGTTTCTCTTGAATGATATTTTAACACGCTCATTTGATACAAAAACAACGACGGTTTCATCTTCTTGAATTTCTCCATCATAATAAACAATAGCTGAAAGTCACGTCATTCTTAGAGTTTAAAAGTGCAACAATATTATATCTGCAAAAAAAAAACAACTGAAACAAACCTGATTAAATAAATAATATATGACCAAAAATATAACAGAATAAATTTTTTACACATAAACGTAAATAATTTAAATAATATATTTTTATATTATTACCTGCACCGCAAAAATATTTCGACTTATGCTCTCACTTTCTAATTCTAAAAACACAGAAATTAATTGAAAACAATTAGTATAATATTTTTTCAAATAATCATATATAACTATAAAATAAATATTATAACAAAATTACCTTATAACGAAAGATCGAGCAAACTTCTGAATCAAATATAAGATGATTGTCGGATATTATTTACTGATTCAAAGGATTGTTGGTGAGAGAGTTTACGGGAGACGACTATTTATAGCCGAGAGAGGATGCCTTAAAGCGGAGAAGTTTGGGAAAATAATGCAAGGCGCGGTCCTTGCACCGTGTCTTGCATTATGCATGTTTGATAATTGAGATAATTGAATAGCGCGGCTCCTGCCCCACGCTATATCTTACGTGGCGTATGACGCGGCCCCTGCCCCGCGCCATACACACGTGTATCCATGTCAGCATAAGACGTGCCTTACCCCACGTGGCGCCAAATCAGTGTATAGCACGCTGCAGGGGGCGCACCTTACTGTAAAGGGTGTTAGATCGGGAAATATAGTCTGATCGGGAATATTAAATTAAAAAGATATTTTTCGAGAAAAACGCCAAGATTTTAGGGGTTTAATTTTTTTTAAGATTTTATAGAATTTTAAGTTTTATTAAAATAATAATATTTTTAAATATTTTTTGAATAAAATTTTGGAAAATAATTTAATGATTTGTATTTATATTTGACTATCTTATATTATATAAAATAAAAATATACTTATTTATAGTTTGTTTTCTTTTTATTATTCGTGAACATAATATTATTTGTCTATAAACATGTGCATTTAAATTAAATAGATGTGTGCGAATTAAGTTATCTTAGTTAAATGGATGATTAATTGTTATCCTTAGAAGTTTTGGGTTCGAGCACATTGTATGTTAGGAGTGTTTGAGTGTTCATTGTCAAATGAGTTGAGAGTTTCTAAATAAATACTACCTAGATTAATATAAAAAATAAACAAATGAATACATACACATAATTTTTTTAACACTATACACAACTTTTAAATAAATGAATATGATCAAGCATTCATTTGAAGTTTAATTTATTTACAAAATTATTCTTCTCTAAAAAAATCTCTCAAGTAGTTATGTACTAATAAAGATAGATTATGTTATATGAGTAAATATTTAAAATAAACAAATAACATTTATATATTTCATTCAAAATCAATTTATTAACTCTTTATCCATGTTTGATTTTTTTTATTCATTAAAAATGTTCTAGGGTCCACCATGTCATAGAAAAGAGAGTGATTGTGACCCAAACTTATGATCTCTTTCAGCTTCACACACACGTGAAGGTAGCGGCCTAAAGAAGCTTATAAACCACACATGCTTTATATTCAGCCAATTATATTTCAATGATTTTATTAGTATTTGGATAAAACTAAAATGACAGTTGTTGTGAAAGAAGGAGATCCTCAACTTAATTGAGAATGAATGGTGATATCGTAGTTTAAATTTCAATGGTTGTTTCCTTGAAATATCATGGTTGGTTATACACGATAAACGTAATTCAATGGAACAGCCATTCTGGATTTGTACGTTACATTTGCATGGTCTACGGATAATATCTGAAGATTCTGCCTGTGTATATATACGGTGATGGATTTTTTTCCGGACTAACTCTTTGATGTTAACGACCACTACAACCTTTGCCTTGGCATCCCACAATGTGAAAGAATTTGAGACGAGATGGATTGGTTGGGCTGGTGTAAATGTCCCTGATGAAATTGGACAAAAGACATTAAGAAAAGCTTTAGCAGAAAAGGTTGTAGAAATGAAGTTCTTAATGTTATTAGCAATTTATCATGTAATCCACGATCTAGAAAATTTCAGGGTTAATGTTAAATCTTGTGCTTTACTTAATGCAGAGGTGTATACCTGTATTTCTTGATGAAGAAACTGTTCATCAACACTATAATGGATATTGTAACAATATATTGTGGCCACTGTTACTTTGGACTCCCACAAGAAGACCGCCTTGCGATGACTAGAAGTTTTCAATAGCAGTTTGATGCTTACAAGAGAGTAAACCAGATGTTTTCCGACGTGGTTAATGAACATTATGTGGAAGGGGATGTGGTTTGGTGCCATGATTACCGTAACATGAAAGTCGGTTGGTTTCTGCATACCCCTTTTCCTTCTTCTGAAATCCATAGGACGCTGCCATCTCGGACGGTTCTGCTCAGATCCGTAGTTGCTGCTGATTTAGTAGGGTAAGATCATTTTTGTTTCTGGAATTGTTACATTTGAAGGCAAATACATTTTCTCTTGTTTTCTTTTCAGTGTTCATGTATTGGGATAGAACTTATTGGTTGGTTAAACTGATGATAGAGAACTTCTTGCAACCAAAGGAATTGTTGTCAATTTAGTTTTAAAATGTATTCTATCACTTCTTGCATTCTGTTTATTTTATTTTACTTCTGCCAAAAACAAGCTCTCTAGGCCGTTTTTGTAGTTTTGTTTTGAATTGCTGGCATGTTGGCTTTCCAGCTTCCACACATATGACTATGCAAGGCATTTTGCTAGTGCTTGTACTCGTATTGCTGGGCTGGAGGGAACACCTGAAGGAATAGAGGACCACGGAAAGCTGACTCGTGTAGCCGCGGTATGTCTTAACTGATCCTTTTCCGTTTCTTTGTTTTCTAAACACCTTCAAATCTCCATTTATTTATTTATTTTCCATAGGTCTTTTAGCACTGTAACACTATTGCTTATAACAACTTCTTTTCTTGGGAACTTGAAATTACAGTTCCCCATGGGGATTGATTCTGATAGGTTCATTCGAGCTCTTGAACTCCCTCTAGTCCAAGAACACATGAAAGAGCTGAAAGAGAGGTTCGCTGCCCGAAAGGAAGTAATTGATTTCTCACCGTCTTCTTTTCCCAGTTGAAAGCACTACAGTCCAGTACGCTTGGCTGATATTTGTTAATATGCTTATAGCAATCATAATGCATTTTAAAGCAAACATGTAAATATTTTGAGTTACTCATGGTTAATGTTTAATAATTGTAAGGTAATGGCGTTGATCGATTTGATATGATCAAAGGACCACCACAGAAGGTTTTGGCATTTGAAAAATTCCTCGAGGAAAATCCTCATCGGCGTGATAAGGTGGTTCTCCTGCAAATTGCTGTCCCTACCAGGACTGATGTTACTGAGTGTATGTTCCTTTATACAACATTTTTCTTCTTCTACTAGATTACTTTAAAGATTCCTTAACTTTTGCTGATAATTGCAGGATTTCTTGACTGTCGTTGACATTATTATTATTATTATTTTGTTGCTAATGTGAATATTGCTTACTTCCTCCCCTACTGTCAAAATCATGCATTTTTATATTCTTAATTTCATAGATCAAAAGCTTACAAGCCAGGTCCATGAGATTGTTGGGCTCATTAATGGAAGATTAGGAACTCTTACTGATGTACCTATACATCATCTGGTTCGGCTCCACCTTATCATCTTTATATTTGCCACTTTGATATGATGAAAGAACTGAACAAAAGGTTTAATGGTCAGTATGAAAGATGCAGACTGGACGAATGTCTAAGCTCTATCTCATTCACTTTTTTCTACTTATTGAGTCACTTTTAGGAAATTTTAGTGAAACCATGCAAAATTCTAATTTGAAGTGTTTGGATGGTTTTATCTTATCGATAAACAATGACGGTTTAAAGAACAGATAAAAGTTATTAGCTCATGTTCTAAAATTATGCTTTATGCATGGATACACAAGAACATGTGCTTATATGGACACTATATCAATGTGCTCCTCAATTGCATCTTGATAATATGATTAATCTCTAATGAAATGGAAAGCAATTTACAAAAAATATTCTTCAAAAGATAAAGAAAACTCATTTGATATGTGCTTATATGGACACTATATCAATGTCAGCAAGGTGCACCAGGAGCTCATTTAATGAAGTAGAAATTTTCAATGAGACCCTTCACTACTACTTTCAGCATACTTACATGTTTTTAGCCCATGTTTTATACATTTGTCTCCCTGTTATTGATGATTGATTGTGAACAGATTTCTAATGCATTTCCTTACTTTGGTACAGGATCATTCTCTTGATTTTTATTCATTATGTGCACTATATGCTGTTACTGGTACAGACTTTCATGCAATAACCCAATTTTTTCAATCCCTATTCGAATTTTCCCCCATGATAACATTTCTCATGCAATTCCATAGAAAATTGAAAGAATTACCAGACATGAATTGTATTTTTGAGAACTATCGGCCCTCAATGGAGTTGAAACACACATAGTAAAAATACTAAATCATATTACATAGAAAAGGGAAGTGTAGATATTCATTTTGCTACTTAAATTTAATTTTAAGATATAATTTGATATTTAATTATATATATATATATATATATATATATATAATTGGATATAAAATTATCTTTAATGTTTAATAGGAGGATGTTGCGGAGAAAAACACGATTCAGATAAAAATTCATCATTGGATCAATAATGATAAGTCAAGAGTTTTGAATTTAGTTTTCGGATAAAATTTTGGGAAAATGGTAATGATATATCAGAAAAGTGTGTATATATATAATAGTGATAATTATCTACAATAAAAGCTAGCGGCTTAAAAAATCTATCTACAGGGAGTCTTGTCTTATGAGGCAATTGGCATGATCATCTGGCTGGTGTCCAATATATTATCAGCAAAAGAACACAGGTGAAGAGAGAAGAGAAATACAAGTTTCAAAATTTGCTAATGTATTCAATAGTGGTATCTTCAGTTTATGCAGTTTGCTGTGATGCAGCTGGTGTTGCAGGTAGCCTGCCTATGTTTTCCCTCGTACTTGTCTCTCAACCTCCCCGTTTCAACTCTCGTCTAATCATTAATATACTGCTTTTTCTTTTCTTGAAATATCAATAAGCTGAACATCTGTTGGTTTCAATGTTAATTTTTTTCAGGTAACATCTTTGCTTTTGTGCTGTTCTTGTCACCTATGTAAGTGGTTTCAAACTTGTGTAGGACATAATCAAGATTGAATGAACAAAAACTCAAATGCAAGGGCTTATTTCTTGCTGTTTCTTTTACAGACTAACATTTAGGAGAATAATCAGAAATGGATCAACAGAACAGTTCTCAGGAATGCCTTACATATATGCTTTATTGAACTCCTTGATACGTCTCTGGCACGGCATGCCCCTTGTATCTCCTGGTATTATCCTGGTGGAAGCAGTCAATTCCATTGGAGCAATTTTCCAATAGATTTAATGATGAAAAGCCAATGAAGGTACTTAAGAAAACAATTTTCTATGGAGCGATGATCCGACTAGAAATGCCTTTCTTTATATAACTTTTGACATGATTGTATCAGTTGAAGATGCTGGGATTCTTGGTATCGGTTTCTGCAATATTTGCTGCCGTAGTTTCCGTTAGCCTGAGATTCTTGGACGCCACATCACGGCAACTTTTTGTCGGTTATCTAAGTGTTGCGTCTCTGATTTCCATGTTTGCTTCTCCTCCGCTTATAATCGTAAGTTCATCGTAATTTCATTTTTCGACCATCGGATTGAGTAATTTGTTCTCACTCAGTGTTCATATGGCAGAATCTGGTGATCAAAACCAGAAGCGTCGAGTACGTGCCGTTCTCGCTGTCTCTTGCCACATTCCTGATGAGTCCGGCTTTCTTGGTATATGGAATGTTGAAGCATGATGCTTTCATCTATGTAAGTAATTTTTTTTCAGTGATGTATATCTTGATCCAATGCCAACTGATGGTATAACTAGCCAAGTCTTTGAATACAGGTACCAAATGGGATTGGAACGGGTTTGGGGACAATCCAATTGGCCTTGTATGCCTATTTTAACGATGCTTCCCGAGAGGCGTTGAAGAATCCCTTGATAGGTCCTTGAGAAAGGGCTCAGCTCGGGCATAGAATATATATATATATATATATATGTAGGCAATAGTTACAAAGTTATATGCCCGTGTCATTCACTTGATTCTCAAGTTTGAGTAGCTTTTTTTTTGGCATAATATTTATATTATTCATATCTTTCCCAAACCCGATAAATAAGAGATATATTGTATACTTAAAAACAATTAAACTCATAAATCATGCATGTCAAGTTTTTAATAAATTAAGAATGTTTAATTATTTTTATGAATTCATGGTACTTGTATGATGACTTTGTAATAAGCGTTCTGTTTGATCAAATTCGTTTGATATTTGGCATACGTTGGACACCTTTTATATATTAAAGCCTAATTAATTTAATACAATAGCGTACAATTTCTCTTTTTCTATCTTTCATGTTTAATGTGATGGTGTTTATATCTGTGGGTTATCATTGAATCAAAGAAATGAAACGATTTGTAGGGTTGCGTTGATTTATAGACTTTTATACAAATATCTATTGTTCTTTGTAATATGAGATGATATATATTTGTGCATGTTGCGAGTGAATAGGAATATTAGTACTTTGGTGCACATAGGTGTTACAAAAAAAGAGGTTGCATAGGGAGGCCACCGAATTCGATAGATTGTGCACCGAATTCGGTGTAATTAATTGTGTTGAAATTTTGAGATGGGTAAATTACACTTTAGTCCCTATACTTTAGCATATTTTCAAAGCTTAGTCCTTAAGCTTCAACTATAAATACCCTAACTCATTTAGTTTCAAAATCATCCCAAATCATTTCTTTCTCCCAATACTAGAGAGCTTTCTTGTGAGTTGTGAGTGTTTTGTAAACACCTGTAAATTTTATCTTTTTAGTAAAAGATCTGCAGCAGTTCGGAGACGTAGGAATAATTGGTTGAACTCTGTTATCAATTTCGGGTATTATTTTTCCGCTTTTATTTCGCATTCTCACTAATATGGTTATTGGGAAATTACTCGTTTATTTCCCAACTATTGGTAATCAGAGCTTTTGGTTGTGAATTTTGTCAAATTTTTTGCGATGTTACTATTCATTATTATTCACGTAAATAGTGAATTTTGTGAATAGTGAAATTTTGTCGGCAATACGAATTTGTCGACGAAAGTGTTCCAATACACGGTGGTTCGCAGAAATTGTCAGGAATGATCCAAACGAAGCCAAATTCGAGTGAGAGCGAAGACTGCAGACGAAGGGAATATGAAAATTGAAAAGTTCGATGGTGGGGACTTTGGCTTTTGGAAGATGCAGATTGAAGATTTTATGTACCAAAAAAATCTATATCAACCTCTCTCAGGAAAGCAACCAGAGGGCATGAAGCATGAAGAATGAAGACTGGGCTCTTCTTGACAAGCAAGCCCTTGGAGTTATCCGACTGACGTTATCCCGAAATGTTACTTTCAACATAGTAAAGGAAAAGACCATGGCGGGTCTTATGGCAGCTCTCTCCAGTATATGAGAAGTCATCGGCCTCAAACAAAGTTCACTTGATGAGGCGATTATTCAATTTGCAGATGGCGAAAGGGGCATCAGTGGCTCAACACCTAAATGAACTCAACACAATCACAACCCAGTTCAGTTCCGTGGAAATTGAATTCGATGATGAAGTTCGAGCTTTAATTATCTTATTATCTCTACCAGATAGCTGGAATGCTACTGTTACAACAGTTAACAGCTCGTCGGTAAACAGTAAAATTGAAATTCAACGATGTTCAGGATCTGGTATTGAGAAAAGAAATTCGACGGAGAGAATCGGGTGAAGCATCAACCTCCTCAGCCTTGCACACGGAGTCTAGAGGGAGAACTTCATAAATAAATTCAAATCGTGACAGATCCAAATACAGAAGGGGAAAATCAAGAACGGGAAAGAAAGATTATAACTGTTATAATTGTGGCAAGAAATGTCACTTTAAAAGAGATTGTCGAGCACTGAAGAAAGATACTGGCGCACAAGAATCTGCCAACATGACAGAGGAGACATGTGATGCCATGATTCTAAGCGTCAACTGTCCGATTGAATCATGGATCTTGGATTCAGGGGCATCTTTCCACTCCACCCATGCCAAGAAATCATGGAGAACTATGTCAGTGGTGATTTTGGGAAGGTTCATCTAGCTGATGATGAAACCTTGAAGATCGTCGGAAAAGGATACATCCGACTAAAGTTGCCAAACCAGACCACCTGGAAGCTGAAAGGAGTGAGACATAATCCAGGCCTCAAAAGAAATTAAATTTCTGTAGGACAGCTTGATGGAGAAGGATATAGTACAACCTTTTCAGGCTGTGAATGAAGATTACCAAAGGAGCACTCGTCATTGCTCGTGGTAAGAAGACTGGTACTCTATATGTAACCTCAAATTTAGAGAATATCATTACAGTAGCAGATGCTGATAGAAAATCAAACATATGGCACCAAGGGCTTAGCCATATGAGCGAGAAATGGATGAAGACACTTTTGTCAAAAGGGAAGCTGTCAGATCTAAAGATGTCGGACTATATGAAGATTGCATCTTTGGCAAACAAAAGAAAGTCAGCTTTGCAAAGATTGGCAAGACACCCAAGGCAAAAAAGTTAGAGTTGGTTCATACTGATATATGAGGACCATCTCCAGTTCCATCTCTTGCAGGCTCACTATATTATGTCACCTTCATCGATGATTATACAAGGAAGGTGTGAGTTTATTTTCTGAAGAAGAAATCAGAAGTCTTTGATACCTTCAGAAAATGGAAGGCCATGGTGGAAAATGAGACTGGTATGAAAGTCAAGCGGTTTAGGTCTGATAATGGAGGAGAGTATATAAATAGTAAATTCAGAGATTTCTGCGCAAACAATGGGATCAAGATTGAGACAATAGTTCCTATGACACCGCAGCAAATGGCGTAGCAGAGCGCATGAATAGAACTCTGAATGAACATGCCAGAAGCATGGGGATACATGCCGGCTTGCCTAAATTGCTATGGGCTGAAGCTATCAACACTGCAGCTTACCTGATTAACCGCGGGCCCTCAGTTCCCTTGGATGGTAGAATACCAGAGAAAGTTTGGAGCAAGAAAGAAATAAACTTTTCACAGTTAAGAGTGTTTGGTTGTATTTCTTATGTACACATAAATTCTGCTGAAAGAAGTAAAATTGATGCCAAGTCCAACAAATGTGTCTTTGTTGGTTATGGTGGTGATGAGTTCGGTTACCGATTTTAGGACTACGAAAATCGAAAGATCATCAGAAGCAAAGATGTCATTTTCAATGAGAATGTGTTGTACAAAGACATGTCAACCATAGAATCAAATAGCTCCAATACCGAAGCTAAAACAAAGGAATTTGCTGAGTTTGAGGAGATTTATGGAAATGATGTTCAGATCAGTCCTGAAGCAATTCAAGAAGAACCAGGCACACCAGAATTGAGACGCTCCTCCAGAATTCCTAAACCAACCCAGCGTTATTCGCCTTCTTTGCACTACTTGTTGCTGACTGACAATGGTGAACCAGAGTGCTATGATGAAGCAATGCAGGTGGAGGATTCAGTCAAGTAGGAGTCTTCCATGAAAGATGAGATGGACTCGCTTATGTAAAATCAGACATGAGAATTAGCTGAATTACCACTAGGCAAGAAAGCGCTCAAAAACAAGTGGATTTACAGGATCAAAGAAGAGCACGATGCGAGAAAAAGCTACAAAGCAAGATTGGTTGTCAAAGGTTTTCAGCAAAAAGAAGGTATTGATTACGATGAAATTTTCTCTCCAGTCATAAAACTGTCTACAATCAGACTGGTGTTGAAAATTGTAGCTTTAGAAAATCTACATCTAGAGCAGTTAGATGTAAAGACAGCTTTCCTTCATGGTGATTTGGAGGAAGAAATCTATTTAAGGCAGCCAAGAAAAATCTGGTATGCAGGTTGAAGAAGAGCTTGTATGGTTTAAAACAAGCTCCTAGATAGTGGTACAAGAAGTTTGATAGTTTCATGAGTAGCAGTGGTTTTACCAGATGCCAAGCAGATCATTGTTGCTACATCAAGAAGTTTGACAATAGTTTTTATTATTTTATTGTTATACGTTGATGACATGCTCGTTGCAGGCTCAGACATACAAGAGATTATAAACTTGAAGCAAAAACTGTCGAAGCAATTTGCAATGAAAGATCTGGGCGCTGCAAAGCAGATTTTTGGGATGAGGATTAAGAGAAACACAAAGTTGAGGACTTTGATGTTATCACAGGCTGAGTACATCAACAAAGTACTCTCCAGATTCAACATGCAAGATGCTAAACCAGTAAGTACACCTTTAGGTGTTCATTTTAAACTCTCAAAAGAACAGTCACCAAAGACGGAGGAAGAACGTGCACACATGGTGAAGGTGTCGTATGCCTCAGCAATTGGAAGTCTGATGTATGTCATGGTTTGTACTAGACCAGATATTGTTCATGCAGTGGGAGCTGTTAGCAGGTACGTGAATAATCCGGGCAAGGTACACTGGGAAGCAGTCAAATAGATCCTCAGATATCTGCGAGGTACCACAAACAAAGCACTTTGTTTCAAATGTGGAGATACGATACTGACAGGCTATGTAGATGCTGACTTAGCCGGAAATGTTGACATCAGAAGGAGCACTACATGGTATGTTTATACTCTAGGAGGTACTGCAGTGAGTTGGGTTTCTCAACTACAGAAGATAGTTGCTCTCTCTCTACAACTGAAGCAGAATATGTCGTTGTTACAGAAGCCAGCAAGGAGATGGTTTGGCTCCAAATTTTCTTGAAAGAGTTAGGCAAGAAACAAGAAAACAATGTCGTGTATTGCGATAGTCAAAGTGCTATCCATCTAGCGAAGAATCCGTCTTTTCATTTCAGGACGAAGCACATACAATTGTGATATCATTTTATCTGGTCTCTTCTGAAAGATGAGATTTTGAAACTTGAAAAGATTAGTGAAGCTCAAAATCCGGCAGACATGTTAACAAAGACGGTAACTACGGACAAACTGAAGTTGTGTTTAGCTTCAGTTGACATGCTAGAGTAACAAGACCAGAAATGTTGCTGCATCGATCGAGGTGTGAAGACAGATTAAAATCAGTCTTCAAGTGGGAGATTGTTAAAGTAAAAAAAAGAGGTTGCATTTTCAACAAAGGGAAGCCATCGAATTCGGTGGATTGTGCACCGAATTCACTGCAATTAATTGTGTTGAAATTTTGAGATAGGTAAATTACACTTTAGTCCCTACACTTTAGGGTATTTTCAAAGCTTAGTCCTTAAGCTTCAACTATAAATACCCTAATCCATTTAGCTTCAAAATCATCCCAAATCATTTCTTTCTCCCAATATTAGAGAGCTTTCTTGTGAGTTGTGAGTGTTTTGTAAACACCTGTAAATTTTCTCTCTTTAGTAAAAGATCTGCGGCAGTCCGGAGACGTAAGCATAATTGGCTGAACTCCGTTATCAATTTCGGGTATTATTTTTCCGCTTTTATTTCGCATTCTCACTAATCTGATTATAGGAAAATTACTCGTTTATTTCCCAACAACAGGGACATTCCTTAGTAGTTTTAACGTTACTTGGTTTAGTAATTGAGGGGCAGTAGTGTGCATAGAGGTCTTATACATGATCTTTTATCTTCACAGAAAAGGCCAAAATCGAAGTTCAATTTATGAAGGCAGATGCTGAGCTAAAAAAACAACGAGAAAGAGAAAGAGAAGCTGCTCGAATTGAATTGCAAAAGGTTTCCTTTTTGTCCATATCATACATGAGTTTGTGAATTTTAGACGCTAGACCACTGTAATACTATATAAAAAAAAGTGTGAAACAGAGCATCAGCTAATTTCAATTATTTTACTTGCCTGGTTTTTCAGATGGAGAAAACAGCTGAGATTGAGCAGAACTTGGAGATTTTGAAAGAACTTGAGAAGCTAAGCGGATGCTCCCTTTCCAATAATCAATTGCATGATCTTAAGAACAAATCTGAAAAGTTGTGTGGAGCATCATATGAAGGAATCCGTGGGAATGCACTGCAACAGTTGGGTTTGTTCATCAAGGCCGAGTATTTAGAAGACGAGGACGACGACACAATTCTAAATGAAGATGGTGAAGAGGGAGAAATACTGTCATAAAAATAGCAGTTTCGGTTGCTGCAGCAGCAGCCCTCTGTGTTCCATCTCCTTGTTAATAACAGTAAAAAAGGCACACACAAAAAAGAAAAAAAAAGTTTGATATGTTGTAGGAAACTGGATATTTCATATTTGTAACTAAAGCAAACACGAATATATTTATTTACATATATAGAAAAGCTGAGAGTTCATCTCCATTTCCATCGGCAGCCTGGCTACCACTCTTTGTTATTACTCTTTGATTTTCAGTATAATTGGTATTTTGGAAGAAAAAAACTATGGGTTCTGTTGCCACGGATGTTTTCCCATCATACTTTGATGTTGAGTTTGTACATGTTTTTTATGGGCCAAAGTTGAATTTATAAACATTCAAATTAGCTTTTATTCGCCGTTTTTAACTGGTAAATTGTTGCTAACTAAATAGAAAAAGTCGATTCGTCTGGGTTAACGTAATTTACAAGATCCATCAGGTAACCAGAAAATCAAGAAAACCAGGGAATCCAAAACAAGTGAAAGAAAAATGGGGGTAGAGGAAAATAATCTGAAATCAACGAGCATCAATGAAGAAGAGAATAAGAAGCCTAATCCTAACCTGAAGGAGGATGAGGTGGAGATTGCAGAGGAAGATACGACGTTACCTTCGCCAAATAATGATATAGTGGGTCAGCCCCACCTGCTGGAGCACTTGTAGACCTTCTGGTTCGATAATCCGTCTGCTAAAACCAGGCAAGCTGCTTGGGGTAGCTCAATGCGCGCTATTTACACTTTTTCCACCGTCGAACAATTCTGGAGGTTAATCTCTTCCTCCAAATTTTCAATTTCATTTGAGTTCAATTCTTGTTTGTTTTCTCTATTGGTTGTTGGATTTGGATGATAATTTGTTCCTAGACTTGTATTTTATTTCTGAATTTGATCATTCCGTAAACGCTTTTGACATGTTTCTATCATTGGAAACCTAAACGGAATCAGTCTGTCATTAATTAGTTTATAATATCAACAAAACGAATCATCCCAGTTTTTTCAGTCCAAGTTTGCTTTTTGTGACGGATATATATGATGAATTTCTGCAGAATTTTGTGGAGCAAACTAGTACAAAATGCTTTCCGAATGTTATCAAGGCGATCTGTTGTTTAATCCATTAACATGTGAACTTAATTGTTTGCTGCCATTGATCACTGATCCCGTGATTTCCATTACAGTCTTTACAACAACATACACCACCCAAGCAAGTTAGCCGTGGGAGCCGACTTTCATTGCTTCAAATATAAGATTGAGCCCAAGTGGGATGACCCGGTTTGTGCCAACGGAGGCAAGTGGACTGTAACTTTCCATAGGGGCAAGTCAGATATGTGTTGGCTCTACACGGTATTGTTTCACATAAACATAATGCCTACTCGTTTATACATGGATGACATGGCTTAGTCTCTTCTCCGTCTGCTGTACTAGTTGCTGGCTTTGATAGAACAGTTCGATTATGGTGACGAGATATGTGGAGCGGTTGTGAACGTGAAAGGAAGGCAGGAGAAAATAGCACTGTGGACCAAGAACGCCGCCAACGAAACTGCTCAGGTAGAACTGTTGAGGGGGGAAAATGGCTTGTGTAGATTCCAAAAAACTAATCTTGGGTTTATTGTTTGAAATGCAGATAAGCATCGGGAAACAGTGGAAAGAGATACTTGATCATAAGGAAACTATAGGCTTCATATTTCATGTAATTTGCTTTCATACCATTATTCCATTGCTATCCATTTAGGGGATGGTGCTTATCAATTACAACTCCATTTTTGTTCCAAGGTTTTGCAATTAATTTAGATGGTTAATTTGACGAGACCCAAAAGGAAATCAAGTTTGAGTAAACCTGTCCAGATTAAAAAAATGGAAAATGACCCATCTAGTCCAACAACGAATTAAAGAGAATTTGTGATTGGGTGAGATAAAATTATAAAACTTGGTGTTAAAATTTAATTATTAATTTTTAGTAGAGATAAATAAAAAAATCACTTAATCAAGGTCTTAAAATGACTTAATTGAATTAAGACAAAAGGAATATTTTAGATATTTATTTTAAGGATTAAAATGAATACATGAAGAGTTTAAGGGACAGACAGAAATTTTCCCACTTTTAAGAGCCAAAAGGAAATTTTGTAGAATTTTAGGGGGTGTCAACTCCCTACTACATTCAACTCCCTACTACATTCAACTCTTATCTGGTCACTATCTTCCTCAAAAGTTTAAGGCTCTGCCGAGGAATTAAACCATTGCTTGGTTAGATTCAACGGACCACGATTAGGGAATAGTAAGGTTGAGGTTTTCTGATCCATCCAAATTTAATATAATCACAATAAAATTTGATTCGGATTTTATTTAATATAATTTTATTTATTTTAATTTAATCTAATTTTTTAATTAAAAATTTTCCTTATTTATGTAATTTTAAATTTGTATATATTTTTATCAATATAAAATAAAATATTGCTTATGATTTGAAGCCATTTTCATTTTTTCAAATACACGCAGAAATAGACCCCATCAATCTAACCTGTTTCATAGAAAATCCAGATTTCAAAGACCAACCCCATCCCCTTCACACAAAAAATCCAAAAGAAGGCAAAAACATGTAGCAGTTATTACATACTGATAAAAATAAATAAATAAATAAATAAAATACGTGGCTATAATAAACAACTAAATAATAATGTAAAAATGGCACAATTACATGATTTTACTTACAATAAAATAAAAAAAATCCCATATTAGCTAAACAAAGAGAGAAACTAAAGTATACAATGGTTGAATTTCTCAAATAATGCAGTGGAAAAAATTATTTGCTCAAATAATGCACTCGACAGATTATTTCGTGAAATAGGGTGAATGCTACAGTAAACACCGAAAACGCATTGGAGTCCAAGCGATTTACCGAAACCCTTTGAAGACGCATTAGATTCCAAGCGTCTCTCAAAGACGCATGGAAATCCATGCATCTTCCCCTCATTTACCTTTATTTTTTTTTGTATTTCCCACCGGGAGGATAATAATAGTGAGGTGGACCTGGCTTTTGTTTATTTTGTATTCCCCATCATTTACTTTAAATTATAGGATAAAGAGTTGGATTTTAATATTATAAATCTACTATAATCAAGAAAGTATTTAATATCACGTGAAATATAGGAATTGTAACAATAATACATGTGGCTCCTGCATGTATAGCAATAATAAAGTGTTTTACACGTGAATATGTAAGAGAAATAATGATGCAGTTATTGCAACAATAATGGAGCAATAAGTGAGAATAGGGATGGATGATTGGGGTTTGTGGTTAGAGGATTGGGGTTGATTTTTAAGTATAAATATGAGGTGTAGGGAGGGAGAGAGGATTACATCGGGAATGGAAAAAAAGAGGAGAAGAAAGAAGAGAAAAGAGGGAAAAATAAGAGAAAATATAAAGAAAGGAGAAGAAGAGAATATCGGTTCGTGCTACTTTATTCGACAAATTTAACCCGATTAGTTAGTTAATTTTGTTTATAAAATCTATATTATTTATAAAATAATATGAATAATATATACATAAATTTAAATTTGTTATGTTTGTTAATTTCGTTTCAATTAGTTGTATGTGTCATATGTTTGTTGAATAATTAGATGTAGTTTGTTAGTAGTATGTGTTATTAAATTATTAATGTTATTAAATTTCGTTGTACAGATTCATCTCGTTGAAATGGCAGAATAAAATCAACTACTTCATCTTGACGCTCAACATATTTCTAGCCATTTAGGAGCGATGGTGTTATTATTATTTAATAAAATATTATAATTTTTTTATTAAATAGTATAAAATGTTTAATTTATGATTAATTGATATAAATTTTATGAATATTATAATTGTAGGAAGACGAGCAACGAGTCCTCCGTCATCGGATTAGTATTCCAGCTAACCACACCCTTTGATTGAAGATAACCTGGAAGAGGCTGGATTTTATCATGTTACATTTGTACGGGAGTATAAGTTGGTCCCAGGTTTGATATGTGCATTGATTGAACGTTGGAGGCCAGAAACATATACATTTCATTTGTCGTACGGAGAATGCACGATAACCCTAGAAGATGTGGCCTTACAACTCAGGGTTCCAACAAATGGGATGCCGGTGGTGATGAAAAATGATTATAATAACGTAGAAACAATTTGCAATGAGTTTCTGGGGCAGACGACAGTAAGCCCAAATGTAAATGGATGGCGTTTGAGGATGTCGTGGTTGGAGGATCAATTTCAACTCAACAAAAATAGTACTTAGGAAGAAATTGTATATGCAACTCGAGCATATATCTTACAATTGATTGGGGGAGTTTTGATGTCGGATAAATCCGGTGGTCTGGTTCACACGCAGTATCTTCCGTTTTTGAGAAATTTTGAGAATACACGTCAGTACAGTTGGGGATTTGAGATATTGGCGTTCTTGTACCATGAGATGTGCAAGGCGTCAATAATCATCAATGATGCTAATACCGTGGAAATTGATGGATGTCTGATGTTGCTACAATCTTGGGATTGGCACAGACTTCCATCTTTAACATCGATTAGTCGTACATCGATTGACTTTCCTCTTGCGGGGAGCTAATATTTATTTTATGTATTTTAATTTAAATTCTTAATTAGAATTTATTTATTCTGATTAAAAATAAGTAAAAAATATTTTTTGATTTATTGATTGAGGCATAAAATAGAAAATACATGACTATTTCACAATAATATCAAAGAGTTTTGATTAAAGATCGACATTTATAGCAAAAAGAAGGTAAATTTTACAATAAGTAATATAATTATACTATTTAATTTAATTTAAATTAATTAATTTAACTTCATTTATTTATATTTATTTCTTTATTTATAATTTTATAAATGTGTGTAATGAATTAATTTTCATAAATGTTAATTTTACAGTTTGTTTGTGTTGAAAACATTTTGATATTTCGATATAACAAATTAAGTTAAATGAATTTTAAGATTTTCCAAAAGATTTTCTAAGTATATTCGATATAATTATTCGAATATCAAAATATTACTCCAAATCTTTCAAAAGT